GTTTTCTTCTTTATTCACTTGTCTTTGTCTGTTCACTCGTTTTCTCCTTTACTCACTTGTCTTTCTTCTGTTCACTCGTTTTCTCCTTTGTTCACTTGTCTTTGTTCTCTTCACTCGTTTTCTTCTTTATTCACTTGTCTATGTTCTGTTCACCAGTTTTTCCTTTACTCACTTGTCTTTCTTCTGTTCCCTCGTTTTCTCCTTCATTCACTTGTCTTTGTTCTGTTCATCCGTTTCTCCTTTATTCAGTTGTCTTTGTTCTGTTCACCAGTTTTCTCCTTTACTCACTTGTCTTTATCTGTTCACCAGTTTTTTCCTTCATTCACTTGTCTTTGTCTGTTCACCCGTTTACTCCTTTATTCACTTGTCTTTGTCTGTTCACCCGTTTTCTCCTTCACCCACCTGTCTGTCCTGTTTGGTTCTTCACCCGTCTTTCTATGTCCTTTTCTGTTTGCCTGTCTCTTCAACAGTTTTTTTTCTTTCATCCCTCTGTCTGTCAGTATGTTTTTAACTGCTGCCTGTTGGTTTCATAACTTACCACTAAGTCCTGTTGCAAATCATCTTGTCTCCCTTCCTGTTTCTTAAAAAAACTATGTGGTGACGTCACTTTCTTTTGAGGTGAACTCAAGGAAGTCTAACGTGTGAGGACGGAAACAGCTTCCGAGACTTCCGTTTCCTATAGACTGATAGATAGCATTCAGGAAATGATGCCTAGAGAAAAAAAGCTAAAGGAACTAAATTCAAAAAATGGGTAAACAATTATAGAAGCTACCAAACTTTCGAAACAGACTTTATCTTGACCCGAATTGTAGCATCATAAGCCTATTAACTTACCACTGAGCCACCTAGGGGCATCAGAGTCAGACTCCTTTACAGAAAATATTAACTAGAATTTTAGGGTTGGCCATCACGGGGTGAAATAAAATTCAAACCTTCCAAAACTACTGTTTAAGACAGACAGACACCAAAGTAGTATGAAAAATGGTGAGATTCCACTCTCGAACCTAAGACTAACTTGTTTCATACACAAAATAAAAACATCGTGTGTTCTGTACTGAGACAATGTGAAACATTTAATACAAGTTTTGATACACAGCTCCTCCTGGTGGCCGTATAATTTGATCTTTTCTTCTCACACCCGGGGCACTTGATATTTATATTCCTGTTTATGACAAGTCAGTCTGTCGTTTCCTGCACTTATCTATCTACCTGGGGGTTCAGTGCAAAACTATACAACTAGCTTTATCGTGCGTGTCAGTCGCAGGAATCGAATCCCGAATTTTTAAACTATCTGGTCTGAAGTTTTACAGCTGAACCACCGGGAACCCATCTATCTGTATGTTTATTTTTCTATCCACTCATTTATCTATATTTCTATAAATTAAGAGCATTTTAAAGAACAGATGAATTATTTGGCGTGTATATTCGTTGTTATGTTAAACTTATAATAAAATTTTTCTTCATTACCCATTCAAGCCGTCTCCAAGCATTATTAAGAAAGAAGTCAGTTTTCTCTAAATTTGTAAGGTCGGTGAATTTTTAGCCGCGGCATAACGGCTGATAGAATGGCTGCGAGTTGGTTTTTTGTCAAGTACAAACTTTTAGCTCATAGCTCTATCTCTTGACTGATTTGAGATCTAATTACAGCCACGGCTATTGAGGGTTCCCTTCTTGTTTGTAAAATTAAACAGAGACAGGAAGTTTTTTCGAAACACTGTCGCGTGGAGTATTTGCTAATTTTTTATATCTAAACTTGGGGAGTCACCCTAAACTGTTTGTTTGTTAAGCATAAAGCTACCCAATGGGCTATCTGTGTTGTGTCCACAACGGGTATCGAGACCCGGTTTTTAACGTTATAAGCCTACAGACTTTTTTGTCTTTTTTTTTTACTCGAGTTTAATCATAATTCTAAATATATATATTTTTTAATTTTAACTACGGAGATCTCTTGGAAAAACAAAATTTTACTAAATAGTTTTCATAAGAATGAACGATGCATTGTGTAGTGGTTAGAGTGCTCTGACTATATGAAAAAAACGCGCTATAAGAGTGACAATCAGATCCTAATATTCAGACAGACAAGTATAGGCCCAGAGTTGGTGAAGTTACTGTTGACCAGCTGCCTTACCTCTAGTGGCCCTTTGTGTAGTTTTGCACGAAACTTCTGGCAGAAACAGTATATTTAAGAATCTAAATTCTGTTTGTTCTTATTTGTTAACACTGTATATTTATATATAAATAATATAAAAAGGATATTCCTCAATGGTAAGCTTACGGCGCTAAGGCAGTAGCAACGAAGAGTATTGAAATGGCCGTCGAGCTCGTAAAAATTATGAAAATAAATAAAGTAAATATTTATAATCTCTATAGGGCACATCCACGGACCTTGAAAGTTACCTGATGATCACTAGTTTCAAAATTGAAAAACCTTCATCAAGGGACAAACAAAATACTATAGATTAAGGTGTTTCAACAATTTTTTAAGCAGAACTTCAACTCGATATTATATATCATCTACAAGAAACTTGGTGATTTTTTTGACTGCTTTAAAACGTGTATAAAAATTTCGCCGTTTCGGTAATAACGTACATTTAATATCGGTTGTTCCAAACAATCAGTATCTCCAGTCTACAGGATAGAACAAGACGATTCATCTAAAAAAATATCAAAGCCTTTAACTATGAATTGATCTGGACTGTATCACAAGAGCAATCACAGAGATTACATTCCCCGCCGCTTCTTGTCGAGATTTCATGCGTTTATATTGGATAAATTTTTATCCTTCGAAAACTCCGAAAATCCTTCTCATATCCAGAATGAACGACGACCCGGACCATTTTTTTGAAGTGTGATGACGAGATTCAACCTTAACGTGCCCATGAAATTTGATACAAGTCCAATCACACTTTAACAGAGTTATTTACCCAAAACCACGGAAATGCCGCATCTCCCCATTATATTTAAAAAAAAAATGCTTCAAAGTGATCCAGAATTTGGGGAGGACTGTCCCATATTGTGTAAAATTTTCGTGTACACCAGTCTATTAGTTTTAGAGATACGCGTGCAGAAATGCAAACAGACAGACACACACGGAACCAATTGCAATACCCTCTCTCCCCTCATAGGCAGAGGATAAAAATACGTCTCACGTGTAATAACGTCGTTGTTACTGTTTAACTTACTTAAAGCTTCTTTGTGTGTGTGTGTGTGTGTGTGTGTGTGTTGCCGCCACGATAAAATGTGAAGTTATCTGAATGACTTCATTTTCAACAATTATCAATAAAATAACAGAATCCGGCACTGTGTTTGCTACTGAATTTTTGCATGAATAACCGTCCCTACTTTTGAACTGATAACTAGATGCTCAGTTAGTCAACAGCAACTACCGCTAACTAGATGCTCAGTTAGTCAACAGTCAACTACCGCTAACTAGAAGCTCAGTTAGTCAACAGCAACTACCGCTAACTAGATGCTCAGTTAGTCAACAGCAACTACCGCTAACTAGAAGCTCAGTTAGTCAACAGCAACTACCGCTAACTAGAAGCTCAGTTAGTCAACAGCAACTACCGCTAACTAGAAGCTCAGTTAGTCAACAGCAACTACCGCTAACTAGAAGCTCAGTTAGTCAACAGCAACTACCGCTAACTAGAAGCTCAGTTAGTCAACAGCAACTACCGCAAACTAGAAGCTCAGTTAGTCAACAGCAACTACCGCTAACTCTTGTTTGATCGAATAATGAGTTGCGACCTGTTACTCTTATAGCGCACCCACAGTCTCAAAGTTCGGACTACGTTTTCTGCGGCAATAAGCCGAAAATGAGAAAGGACAATAAATACATCTTATCCAGGGCGTAACCAGCACTACAGTATGTGTATGGAGATCTTTGAAAACAAAACACACACACACACACACACACACACAACTGGACTTTTTTTACTCTACACAAATAGTTTAAGTGATTTGCCTTAGCCTAAAAGAAACTTGTAAAACGAAAGTACACAAAACTTAGAGAGAGCAGAAACAGAACTTTTGGTGCATCGAACAGTAATCAGTTACCAAGTTGTAAACGCTTATCACGTGACCTTCTACTGCAGACGAGGAAACTACCGAATTGTTTGGTTGGTTTTATATCGACCAGGATAAGCCAGTCAGCCGAAACGATATGTAATTATAAACCACATTTGAGTATAATTATAACACAGCTACACTAATTATATGTGTTTCAACATGTAGCTTATCCATACTTATTTTCACAACTTTTGTAACAGTTCCCTAGCACTGTTTTTAAACATCGTTCATTATTTAGACGATGCACGAGCGACTTATTTTGTAAGTTTTTTTTTTTTTTATTGTGTGCGTCCTCTTTCAGTCACCGAAAAGAATAAAAAATAATCAATAATCAAACAACCAGTTCAGGGAAACTAAAACTTTTTAATGATTTTTTATTTATTTACAAATGTTGGAATACTTCACTAAAATACAATACTCTTTGAGAATGACTTAGAATATATTGATTCATAAGACATCTGTATAGATAGAAAATTTTATAAACATTGCTTAATTAAGTACAGTTGGTAATTATTCATTGTTGCTTTTGTATTATTACAATTGTAACAAACATTTATTTTTTTGTAAATCATGGATTTTAGGCTGTTTTTTGGACGAAGTTATCTCAAGTTCCATAATAAACAGTTATATAAGTTACTAATATATATTTGCTCTTTTAACGATTATTCTGGGCCCAGAGAAGTTGAGCAAGTGTGTGAATTGTATAGTACCGGTGATGTAAAAAAGATCGATAACTCTGTCTGGATATAGTAATCCGACATATCGATTGACGGCGACATTCAAATACAGCCGACGCCGGCGTTCTATGGCGGCCTCCATAGATAACAAATCTATGACAAATTATATACTATACATTCAAATGAATATTTAACGCACTTTTAGGTCAGCAACAATTTTTTTTGTGTGTGTTTACCAGGACAAATAAGAACTGAAAATGTGTTATTGGTACATAAAACGTTATTTGCTGGTACGAGGCATTAAAAAAGTATTCTTTATACAAAAAGTTAATCGCCTGTTTTTAAGGTGAAGAAACATTAAGTACGTGGAGGAAATTATTTATAACTTCCTGGCATTACTGTCGAATTTAACTTACCTCTGTACAAATACAAAGGAGTCGTTTGTTTACAAAATGCACGATGTACAATAAACGAGGTTTATACAAATACTATAAAAACTGCTTTACGTTATAATAAGAGCACTTTACAAAAACGTTCTTTAGCAAAACATCATGCAAAAATTGTATATCTTATCAAAAAATAAGGTAGACCAACACCTTTATAAAAATTCACGAGTCAATTTACATGTTGTTAGGCTTGGCTTAGATTATCATGATTGTATAAATGAATATACAATATTATCACTTACTATGAATGTATATAGACCTTTCACAGAATGTTCATCACATAGTTTGAGAGAAAACACGAAAAAGTTATAATGTATCTCTAAGTTATGGAGGCAATTTTCTGAGAAAAGTTAAATTTTTATAAAATTGCAAAATAACTGAGCAGAATTCAAAGGCCACTTCATTTTTTTTGGAAGCCAGCACACCATCAAACCTTGCATCACACTATTGTTAAAACTTAGGCTTAATTAATTAGGCCTATAATTCTACAAATGTCAGCTTTTCAGATGTTTGATACTAGCACTAATAGTAATATTGCTAAACTTATTGCATAATGAATTTGAAAACTTAGTCAAAATGACAATCAGTTTGAAACTTAAAGCTATAGGGCTATATTATATATATACAATATGAATAAAAAATACTACAAATTTGTTAAAAAGTCATCATATTAGTGTTCATAATCTGACACCCGCTGTTAACGTGTTCCAACACTTGTTGTTTTAGAGAAGCAACTTGATCTCGGAGTTTGTTTACCACTACGCTTAGTTCGCTGTTCTCACCTTTCATAAATGAAACTTTATTTTCCAATTTAGAGATTCGCTCGAGCTTACGTCGACGACACTTACTAGCTGCGATACGATTACGATGTCTTTTTCTTTCCAGTTTAATCCTTTCTTGGTCCTGCATGTCAACAGGTGATATCGGCGACGGGGATTGGCCGATGGTTGGCACTGTCTGGGGTTCATCCTTCACTAAACCTCGGAAGTAGCTGCTATTTGTGGCTACGGTCGTTGTTGCTGTCCGACATTCCGGGTACCCGACGTTCGAACTGACCGTGTAATGTTGCCCATTCGTTGTAGAACATTGGGAGGGTTGTAAGACTGATGGGTGCATACAGTCGGAGATTGACATAGTGACACTGGGTTGAGCAAACGTTGGAGGTTGGCAAGATAAGAGGGTACACGTGCTGTTAGTCTCCGTCGTAACGGAGGAAAGGGAAAGCGTATCCGTGGATACTGGTTGGGGAATGACATTACCTGCACTAGGTGCTGTACACTGATGTAGATGGTTCAGTGCTTCCAAAAATCCTCTAGCATAGTCTTGTTCTTCATTACCAGTTTTTGAATAAAACTGGGATGGTGTAGGAGTTGAATTTACTCCTCCATTTTGTGTGATAAAACGCTCTAGTTCTGGTGTATTTAACTTTAACATTTTCAGGTCGGGCGAAGTGAGAAGAGGATCAAATTTCTGACGAGAATTTTGTTTAACATTGTTAAGGTCCAGTGTCATATTTCTTTTCAACATTCGCATTTCAGATTTGTGGCGAGAGAGAGCTTCGTCATAAAAGGTCGCCTCCATCACCAAACCTGCCATTTAACGTGAGCCACGTCCACAAACGAGCTGTCGCTGCGAAACCGACACAATGGGCACTTATTCGAAGTTAGGCTTCGTTGAGCTTACCACAATGCATACGAATAACAGTAAAGACTTCCTTCTCAACCCTTCCTTAAATAACTGACTCTCTCAAGAGAAGACAATTTTACGTTTAAGTTTTTGTTGTGTGATCCCCCTCCCTTCTCACTAACAACCAACGTGCACAAATGACTCAATAACCAACGTTTTATAATTCTGACTCAGCTCACCAAACATGGCGTGATGTCACAGTTCTTGATTTTCATTGGATAGAGTTGACGTAATTTCGGTGTATTCTGAACAGTTTCATGTGGATTGCGGCTACTAGGAAGTTCGTATTACTTATAAGAAATCACATGACTTCCGTTAAATAAGCCAATCATGTGTTTTTGAAATTTCGTAGAAGATTAATGGCGGCAAGGTAGTATCGTCTGCTTTTTTATACCCAAACAAAGTATGGTGTTACTTTGTTTTAGGTAAAATTAAATCATTTTAATAAATATATAAAAAATCAGGCATTAATTATAGAAGATAAATTATGTTATAGTTGAATTAGTCTAAGAGTAAAATTAATTAGGATGCTGGTCCGGTACACAGTAATAGATATTTATTATTTTAATTTTTATAAACGTAGAATACTCAATTATCCATAGTTGTAACGTGATTTAGTGTTATTAATAACAACGATAATAAAGTACCTTGTTTCGATGTTAATGTTAGGCCTACTTTTAGAATTTGCTCTTGGTATGAACAGAACCAGGCGTTTGCATTATTTACTAATTTAGTGCTAAAAATAATTGAATTACAACAGGTAATTTCTGATTCCACAGCCTACTGAGTCTGACCACTGTCATTTAACTTTTATTTTTTAAGTACTGCAAATTGTAATATAATAATAATGATAATATATTAATAAGTTATAATATTTAAAGGAAATAATTTTGACTTAAGTTAAAATTATACTGTTTATAATAGTACTAGTAGGCCTGTTATTTTCTCACTACAAGTAACTAATATTAATACTAAAATAATAGCTGTAAGGTTATTATTAACGGTATGACTTAGATAATTGCAACAATTGATCGTGGAATCGAAATTCACCAGCTGTATTTCTGTTAGTTACAAATGGTTGTAGTAGGCCTTGACTGACAGTTAAATAAGTTATCATTAGCATTTGTTTGGGTGTAACTACAACTAATAGTATAAAATTTATAATAACTGTTAGAAATAGAAGGTTGGATTACAGTTGTTCGTTTTTAGTCTAAAAATTTGACCATGAAGTCTTACCTAACTTTTATTTGAGCATTTACCTTGGACAATTTGTGACTTTCATGAATTAACTAATCACTTGCAATTTATTGTTGTAGAAATAACGTTTTTCACTGACTTCTTTCATTAATTTATATGACCCCCCCATTTAATTGCAGAATGCATATTTTGCTGTTTCTTACTGTATTGAGGCCCAGCATGGCCAGGTGGTTAGGGCACTCGACTCGCAATCTGAGGGTCGCGGGTTCGAATCCCATCAAACATGATCGCCCTTTCAGCTGGATAAAAACCGTATAAGCCTTTTAGGGTCTTTATCGTTTTCTATTGTTACGTATCTGCTTGGGCTACTCTTTTACCAACGAGTAGTGGAATTGACTGTCACATTATAATGCCCCCAGGGCTATCTGTGCTAGCCGTCCCTAATTTAGCAGTGTAAGACTAGAGGGAAGGCAGCTAATCATCACCATCCACGGCCAACTCTTGGGCTACTCTTTTACCAACGAATAGTGGGACTGACTTTTCCATGGCTGAAATGATATGCATGTTTGTTGATGGATTCGATACCACAAAATATTTCAATTATATAGGATTAAATTTCTCATATTCGAATTATAACAAATAGGGTCCTAACCTTCCAGTCTAAAATGGTTTATTATAAACATAAAAAAATGTATGACAAAATTCGTGTAGCTTTGCGCGAAATTCAAAAACAAACAAACCAACAATCTTACTGTATTGAAATATCACAGTTATAAGTTATTGATTTCTGTAGCTACAAGTATTACTTGTTTCATTTTGTTTTCATCCCACAAAAAACTCACTATTTTTACTCTAAGTTAGAAATATTGTGAGATGAGAGAGAGCATGGCATATATATATATTTTTTTACAGCCATATAAACATTTTAATTTGACCTTAATTCCATCTAAATTTGTGGTTAGTCACTCAGGTATTTTGTATTACTATTAGCCAAGAATTTTTACACTTGGGTTACTGAACCTACAACAGCAACCCTTAACGGCAAGCATGTTCAATGATGGGGATATGAACCCGTGACCCATAGATTGTGAGTTGAGTGCCATGGCCACCAGGCCATGCCAGGTCAATACAAACTCCAGAACTGACTTGTGCTATATTTCAAGTGTTTTAATACACCGTAAGGTATTTTTTACATCTCCAAGTGTTAAGAAAAGACATTCCAGTTTGATTTAGCACACCTCAAGCTTGTCTTACAATCAGTCAAACTTTTAGTTGCATAACATTAGTATTTCTTTCTTTAGTAGGGTGTAAATTTGTGGAGAAAATGATACAGGAGTTTTAGAATATTTGTGTGTTCAGAGTTGTATTTATGATTAGTCTTTATTTCTTGAGAGAGATGTGGAGTCAGGGCATTCTAAAGGGGCCCCCCTGATATCTCAAAATTTAAAATATTTTTTTATTAATAAGAACAGGCTAGCAATTTAAATAAATATTTATTGTGTTTTAAGCAGTTTTGGAAGATACACCTTGTGTACTACTTGATGTTTGAGTATTATGTAGAGTTACAGTACTAAAGGATTTAACAAGTGAAACATAAAGGTAGTTGACCTCTGAAACATCACTGGAACTGCTGTATTAAACTTCTCAAAATTTTGATTCGTTGCCGAAGAAATTCAAACCACACAAGGTAAATATAAATAAAAAACCTTATTGTTACCAAGAGCCAAAGATATGAATTATGAATTTCCATATTGACAAATTGCAATAAAACTAGCATGTGCAACTGGTGAACCTGTATTATGTAAAAAATATTTTTTTATTATTTCAACTTGTGCATATAAAGAAAGCTGTTCATCATTCTTGTTTTGCTCCTATCATGTAGCTTATGTTTTTCACAAGTAATACTGGTTGACAAGGGCCAAAGAAAAATCAGAAATTCTTGCCAAACGAATCTTGCATCATGTAGAATTGTAGACTGAACTGATAAGCTGATATTTCATTTCACACAGACCTTGTTAGTTGCTGTGCAGTTAGTCGAAAGAATAACATTAAAAAAATAGAACCTTGGGGGTGACATATCAATTTACTTCTTGGTCCAGTTTTTTTATCTTGTCATTATGACTTGTATCTAAATTTAGGGATTAGCCACTGTTTTGTAATTGTGCTTAACAGTTTGATCTGATAAGATATGTGATTGCAAAGTTCCAAAAGTAATGTCACTAATTTACCTGTTGGAATTGACACTGAGCTAAAAATGGTTCTTACTTTTACGTAAACACACACCTGATATATCTATTCGGCTTTTATCACATACTTTTGATATAAGTTTGAAGCAGAGTGACAGGTGTTATCAATAGCAGCCAGTCTGTGAACTGCATGCTTCCATTATTGTCTGTAACTCAGTACAGGATGAAACATGAGCAAGCTGGATGCTTGCCTAAAAGTGCAGTTAAAATTGTGCCTAAATATTTCTAGTGAAGTAGTAAAGACTTGTAGGTTGAAACATAAAATCTTTTGGGTCTTACAAACGTCAACAGGTGTAAAGTTGTATTAATTCTGTGTAACTCTTATCACAAAATCTCCATTGTGTACAATATACAACAGGGAGAATGAAAAGTGAAACTATACATTCTAAAAAAAAGAAATTTCAGTTTATGAAAAGTTTTTTTATAGCTTTGGTACTTCATTTGGTATGTTGTAATCACAAAATACTGAGTTATATCTCACTTGGTATGTTATAATAAAGAAAGACTGAGTTATACATCACTTGGTATGTTATAATAAAGAAATACTGAGTTATATCTCACTTGGTATGTTATAATAGCCCGGCATGGCCAGGTGGTTAAGGCACTCGACTTGCAATCTGAGGGTCGCGGGTTGGAATCTCCGTAACACCAAACATGCTTGCCCTTTCAGCCTTGGGGGCATTATAATGTGACAGTCAATCCCACTATTCGTTGGTAAAAGAGTAGCCAAGGAGTTTGGCGGTGGG